GCGGTGCTGAGGGCCAGGGTTTGGGGGTGGGATGGCAGGGGTAGGGGAGCGGTTGGGCTGGGGGAGCTTAAAGAGCTTTTCCAACCTAAACGATTCCATGATTCTACCCATTTCTCTCTGAGCTGGATAATTCCAGGAGGCAGGGGTGAAAGGATCTGATTAATAACCCCCTGCATACATTTCTCATGCTGAAAACACCAATTCTCCTCAGATTTTTTTAAATTCATGAGGTAAAGTCTTGGAGAGTGGAGTTTGGAGCCATGGTCTTCCAGCAATTGGAGTTGCCTCTATACATCCCAAGCTGGAATTGGGACAAGACTAACTCTGGTTTTACCCTCCCTGGCATTACTTTAAACAAAGAAAAATTAACTCTTCCTTCTCTGTTCTTAGGCGAGGTATCTGTAAGGCCCAGCCTGTGCTCGTTAGTGCCTCTGGGATGCACAGTGGCTGGAGCACGAGTGCCCAGAGTCTGTCCTGCACGTCAGTGGAGAGCGGCGCGGAAGGGGATGGGAGCCTTGCCCACGAGCCAGCCTGCCCGCAGCCGCCTCTGCAGAAGACAAGAAGGGTCATCACATGCCCCGGCAGGGTTCAAAGAGCTTCCCAAAACTTCTTTGGAGATATTAGCGTGCTGCAGGGCCAGACAGGCGGTTGCTTTCCTGGGGGAAGGTGTTAAAGTCTGATAAAACTTTGGGGTGCGCCAGCGTCAGACGCATGAGGAGCTGATGATTGCAGCTCATCTGACTGACGGCTTCAGTTTCCTTTTAAGTTTGAGTTCCGTAGCCATGTCATGCAAAGTCTGCGTTGCCCAGTGAACCCTAAATCTTTCCAGCCTTCTCCAGACCTATCAGTTAATAAAGTATTTCTGCGCTATGTGCCCTTTATTGTTCCCACATGGGTTTAAACGGTGGTGTCAGTTCTTCCCCTCTCTGTAGACATAGCCTTGACCAAAGGAGGTTTCCACAAGGACGCCTTGTGGGACGCAGCAGGTGACCCCCTGGCAGCAGAAGCTGCTGTGATTCCAAAGCTGCCTTTGATCCACAGGCTGCAAATCCCTCGCAGGCTTCCTAAGCCACTTGGGAACTGGCTGCAAAGCATTTTCTAACCAGATTTCTTCTGCCGCACTTCTTTTCTGGAGGAAGAGCTCCCTCGAGGGTCGTGGGAAGATGAGCAGCACGTCTGGAAGCTGCTGGGGTGCAGTGAACTCCAGCACCGTTGCATGCTGCTTTGCTTGAGAGCAACCCTGGAGCTCTCCCCATCTTCCCCAAGAGCATCTTCTTGCCTTGCCGGGCTGCTTCATCACTGTCGGTTGAGTGCTGCTGTAGGCTGGCAGCCACGGCGGCTGCTCGTGTTGGGATGCGATGCAACCTGGCTTTGGCTGAGGACAGGCAGAAGCCCTGTGTTGGTTCCTTTCAGGTTACAACCCTGTTCCTGCTGCCACTGGTCCTGACTGGGAGCAAACTGGGACGACGGGAAGGGCTGGTGCCACCAGATGGTGCTGCCATACAGCCGGACTGTGCTCAGCTTCACCCCGGTGCGCCAGGCTGGGACAGCCTGGCACAGGTACAACTCTTCAACAGCTTCAGCTTGGTCTTGAGGGCTTCTCGTGGTCCTGCCTGTCACGGCCTCAGTGTCACAGCGATGGGAAGAAACGAGGCGTCACCAGTGAAGGACCAGCAAGGCGAGCAGAGCTTGCACCGAGGGTGCTGGTGATTCAGCATTTGCCCCTCGCCAGCTGCCTGGCGGAGCAGGCTGGATGTCGGATTTCTCACCGCAAGGCACGGCTTTGCTAAAACCGAGGGCTAAAAGCTACGCCTGGTAAAGCCCAGAGCCAGCCCAGCGTAGTGAGGTGGGACAGGGCTCAGGGTGGTCACAGCACTCCTAGCCCAAAAGCTGGGCTGTGAGGACTTACCATGCCCCTGGCCCGGAGAGTTAACAGTGGTTTGTGACTGGAGGGGGGATCAGAAAGAAAAACGTTATGGTTCTTTTTGAGTCCCTGCTTTTTCTGTCTTTATTTGATGGCCTAGCTCTGGGAATGGCTTTTTCCCGAGCTGCCGTGGCAATCTCATTGAGTTCTCCGGCCTTTTCTTCCAGGTTGGAGTGCTGTCTTGTCAGAATCATAGAATCACAGAATCATTGAGGTTGGAAAAGCTCTTTAAGATCACCGGGTCCAACCGTTCCCCTAACCCTGCCACCCCACCACTAAGCCCTGTCCCAAAGCACCGCCTCTGCCCGGCTTTTAAATCCCCCCCAGGGATGGGGACTCGACCCCTTCCCTGGGCAGCCCATTCCAGTGCCTGACAGCCCTTTCTGTGAAGAAATTTTTCCTAATGTCCAACCTAAACCTGCCCTGGTGCAACTTCAGACCATTCCCCCTCGTTCTATTGCCTGTTACCAGGAGAAGAGGCCGACCCCCACCTCTTTACAGCCTCCTCTCAGGCAGTTGTAGGGAGCGATGAGGGCTCCCCTCAGCCTCCTCTTCTCCAAGTTGAACACCCCCAGGTCCCCCAGCTGCTCCTCATAAGACTTGTGCTCTTTTCTTATGCTCACGGACACCCAGTGTGTGATGGGCGCCGAGGGGGGTGTTGAGATCTTCCCCAAAGGTGAGCCAGGATGCACACTCCCCAGGGAGGACACAGGCTGTCCCATGAGCCAGCCCCTGATGAAATCACTCTCGTTTCAACTGGCTTTATAAGGTGATAAGCTCTTCCTGCAAGGCAGCGTTTCCAGAGTGATGTCATGCTGTTGGGTAAGCCCCGTGTCAATGAGGTCATTATGCAACCAGAACTCTTCAGAGGGAGAGATCGAAGGTTTCGCTGGTCAGTGGAGAGGAAGCTCATTGTGGAGCATCCCACTTGGGTTTCTTGGATGCAGATCCAGAGAGCTGGGGAGGAGGTGTCCTTGGTGGACCGGCTCCACGTAGATCTGAATCTTAATTCTTTTTCTTTCTTGTAACAGCCTGCTATGCTCCCCCTCTTTTCTTCCTCCCCT